AAAAAGCCCAATAATCATTAAGTCTTCTGGGTTGTTGTGTTGCTCTCTTGCGCCTGATTGCTACATTGCCCTCCCCATCAAGATGGGCCTTGTCCGCAAGGTCCTCAGTGACCCATTTTCCAGCAGGGTTGGAATTAGGGCTCAGCTCATTAATAGTAGCAGCCTTAGACTCAGGGGTTAGGTGGGTAGAGATAAGATTTCCTTGCAAATGATTGGTTAGGCGTTTAGTGGAGTGAATCTGATTGGTCGCGGAAGAGGTGGAAATGACTCCATCTCTCGTTCATCTTCCCACGTTGTTGCTTCCGGTGGTAAATCTGACCACTGCACATTCACCTGGGGTAACTCGACCCATTTCTTCCATATGGTGCGATGAGCCACCACAGTTATCGGTGTATGGCGAGAAGGATTCCCGTTATTCTGTTCGGAAGGTCATGGAGTGTATATTGACGATCTGCCAAAAATGATTTCAACAGAGAAATGTGGAAAACTGGATGTAGCCTTCCGGTAGATTGAGTTTGTATGCCATGACACCTACCCTCTCGAGCACTTCAAAAGGCCCGTAGAACTTGAGGCTTAGCTTAGCGGAAGAGCGTAGAAAGACAGAGACTTGGCGATAAGGTTGAAGACGAAGCAGTGCCAGATCTCCCACTTCAAAGGTCAAGTCTTTCCTCTTTTTATTAGCCGAATCTTTCATAAAGTGTTGTGCCTTCCTGAGATTCTGCTTCAATGTGCCCAGGATCTGCGATCGAAGACGAAGATCAGAATCAACCGCTTCCAACGGGCTGATACCCAAGGAATAGTGAACCAAACAAGGCAGTGATCTACCAAAAGTTGCAGCAAAAGGAGAGAAACCCAGCGAACGAGTGAAGGCGGTATTGAAGTGGTATTTTGCGCAACTCAGGAAGCGAACCCAGGTGGATGGTTGGTCATGCACAAAGACCCTGAGGTATTGTTCCAACACCCTATTAATTCGTTCTGTTTGGCCATCGGTTTGGGGGTGATAAGATGAACTGACACGAAGTGTTGTTCCCTGTAGTAGGCCACCTTGGCAGCTGTGTAACGCGGTGGCAAAGGGGAAAAATGTGCTCCTTTGGTCAGTCTGTCACAAACCACAAAAATGGTAGTATACCCAGCCGATAGTGGTAAGTGGGTAACGAAGTCCATGCTAAGGTGAGACCAAATAGCATCTGGAATAGAAAGGGGCTGAAGCAGGCCATAAGGTGCGTGGTTGACTGACTTAACTTTTTGACATGTTTCACAGTTCCTAATGTATGATTTAACGTCTTGCCCTACCTTTGTCCAGGTGAAATTGGCACAAAGAGGAACTAAAGTGCGGTGGATACCAGCATGACCACCCAGGGTAGACGAATGGAACTCGGCTAACAGCAGCAGAATTAACTTGGATCCTGCCAGAAGAAAGAGACGACCTCTGGGATATAAGAGATCATTTTTAAATTGCCAGTGTGGGCAATTCGAATTTCATGATTGTAATTCTGTAATTATATTTGTAGCATAGGGGTCTTGTAATAATTCTGACTGTAATAAGGATCCATAAGTAGATATTGGGCCCGTGAGGGCTGCAAGCTGAGGGTAGAAGCCCATCTGAGCATGTCCAGGATGTCTGGATAGGGCATCAGCAGCCTTGTTAGTTTTTCCATACTTGTAGACTATTGAATAGTCATACCCCTGTAGTTTTGCAAGAAATTGTTGCTATTCAGGTGTCTGTATCACTTGAGTCATTAAACAGTGGAGACTCTGGTGATCAGTCCGAATAAGAAATTTTGCACCTAATAAGTATTGGCGCCATTTAGCCACTGCAGAAGTCAATGTAAACAACTCACGAATATAAGCAGATTTGCATTGCATCATTGGAGATAATTTTCTGCTAAAAAATGCAAGTGGATGTTCCTGTTGAAGCAGGATAACCCAAATACCAACCGTAGAAGCATCGGCTTCTATAACAAAGGGTAATGAAAAATTTGGTAAAACCAATGTTGGGGTTGTGGTTAATAAATCCTTCAATCTGGAAAATGCATGAGTAGCCTTAGGGGTCCAAGTAAAACCCTCCTTAGTCAGTAGGTCAGTCAAGGGTGCTGCAATACTAGCATAATGGTGAATAAAATGTCTATGATACCCTGAAAGACCGAGAAAGGCCCGAACTTGAGTTTGTGAATTTGGAATGGGCCAATTCTGAACAGCTTGAACTTTAGCTGGATCTGGGTTCACTCCCTCTTTGGAGATAACATGGCCCAGGAATGCAACAGAGGTAGTTGCAAAACTGCATTTGGAGACCTTTGTAAAGAACCTGTGGATGCGTAAAATCTGTAATACTTGTGCCAAATGCTCCAAGTTGTCCTGCATTGAGGGACTGTAAACTAAAATATCATCAAAGAAAACCACAACAAATTTACGCAAAAAAGCTGCAAAAATCTCATTCATGGTGGCCTGAAAGGAAGCAGGGGCATTGGTTAAGCCAAAGGGCATCACCAAAAATTCATAGTGTCCATGATGAGTCTGAAATGCAGTTTTTTTAACATCTGCAGGTTTCATTTTAATCTGATGATACCTGGAACGTAAGTCAAGTTTGGAGAAAATAGTAGCTCCAAGGAGTTCATCAAGTAGTTCATCCACAGTGGGGATAGGAAAACAGTCCTTAATAGTGACAGCATTAAGAGCACGGTAATCAACACAAAAACGCCACGTGCCATCCTTCTTCTTGACTAACAGTACCGGTGAGCTGAAATTCGAGTGACTAGGGCGAATAATACCATTACTCAGCATCTCATGCACCAATTTCTCAATTTTGGATTTCTGAAAATGTGGATATCTATAAGGTCTGACCTGAATGGGCCTAGTGTTGGGCAGCAATTTAATCCGGTGGTTGTGATTTCTATCAGGAGGTAAGGCGGTTTGGTCGGCAAATACATCCTGAAATTGGGATAAGAGGTGGGCCATAGCGGGATTCAAGTGTAAGGGTTCTGACTTTTGCCCATTATCCAAGGAACGAGCATTAGTATCACTTTGAACAGTAAAGCACATGAAACACAAAACAAGCCCATTATGTGTTGTCAGTTAGGACAATTGTGAAGAAGAAGTAGCAGCTGGGCAAGTCATCGATTCTCCATTTCCTACTTGCACTTGAAATGGAGTGATCAATTGTAAGGTGAGGACAAGGAGATTGGCCATGAATAGATCCTTCAGCTATTCCCATCGTGATGATAAGAAATTATGAGTGCTCCCCAAATCAATTAAAATATGAACATTGTGGCCATGAATAGATCCTTGTAACCTGAAGGAGCATGAAGAGTGATGGCCGAACATAGCATTCAAACTAATTTCGGGTGTTGGAGGTGATTCAATGGCTGGTTCCATAAACAATGGGTTGGGGGGTTCAAATTCTAATTCAGGTTCATCATCTGATCCAGCAAAATAAAAGAGTGTAGCCTTGCCTTTACACTTATGACCGAAAGTGTAACGCTCATCACAATTATAACACAAATTACGATCCTTTTTAACTTGCATTTCAGCAGGTGAGAGGCGTCCGATGGGAATAGCTGAGAAGGCCTCTGGGGACTTTTGTTTAGAAGGTAACAAAGTAGAAGGAGCAGGTAAAGCAGGCAGTGCTGGGGCTCAAGAGTGCCAAGCCTTATAAACTGGTTTGTCTTCGACAATTTGTTCTTTGAAGAGCCGTGCTAATGCTAAAATGTCATGGAGATCAGGGGGACGCATCGTCAAAACAGCGCGTCGTATCTGTGGTTTGAGACCACTAATGAACGTACTCTTCAGTAAGTCAGGAGTGATGTTGCGTACCTTGCTGGAAAGGTTCTCAAATTGGATCTGTTAGTCGTTGACAGATCCGATCTGTGTGAGCTTGGTGAGCTACCCTGTTGCATCTTCGAAATCAGTGGGTCCAAATCGATGGTATAAGGCGGCAGTGAAAGTAGCCCATGAAGTACACAACCCATCATGGTTCAAACCTTGAAACCAGCGAGCGGCAGGCGGATCTAGATGGAATGAGGCCAATAGTAACCGCTCTCCATCTGGAATCTGGTGATAGAGGCAGTAATGGTCCACCGCGTAAAGCCAATCAGTGGGATCGCCGGAAGCGAATCGTGGAAATGCCAGTCGAGGACGCTGAGCGCGTGACTGGTTAGAATTATCTGAGGATGAGGGCGAATGACTCGTCGGACTGTGACCGAGTATTCCGAGATTAGTGCTGCGAATGGATTCTACCGTTGCGTTGAGCTCGGAATGCAGATCTGACCGAAGTAAATGAACCTGATCTCGTATCAGATCCGGAATAAGCAACTGCTGTTGGTGAAGTTTTGCAATCTGATTTTGCATGTCTTTGTAACGTGTGTTAAGAGTATCCGCCATGGATGAGGGTAGGAGAATCAATGAAAGCACCAATGTAGAGATAGGTTTCAGAAGTAGTTTTGAGCGGGAAGAAAGAAGGAAGAAGGAAACAAGAGAGAGGATTTGTGAAAGCTTTTCTATATCTTCTTTATTACTCATTTTGACTTATATAGTATCTTTAAAAGTAAAACTATTACAATGGACTTGAATATAATATGGTAATACTAAAAAGCCCAATAATCATTAAGTCTTCTGGGTTGTTGTGTTGCTCTCTTGGGCCTGATTGCTACACACGCATAAAAATATATAGATCCCATGCCAGGTCATGTGAAGAGAAAAAAAAAAAAAAAATATGGGTCTGATATACTTTTATGTATGCATAGGAAATAAAATTATTTTCTATAACATGAGAAACACTAATTCCTTGATTATTTGCAGAACATCCAACTTCTTGTTTTGAACTTAAAGCTTTGTGAGATATTCTATATACAATTCAAGGAAGGAAGATAATGAATCCAATTATGCTTTGTTAGTTTTTCTTTAAACTAATGAAATAACTAAGAGATAGACTTCTTAGTGAGCATGGTTGGTTGCTACAGTTTTTCAAGCATATCACTCCAAATTTGATTAAACAATTAACCATTTGCAGGGGGAACAGAATTTACAAATTTTGTTGCTTTAAACTTTACACAGACGTGGTGAAATTTCATCCACAAATTATTCAATAAATGTAACAAATATTAATTGTGTTCCCTCAACAAATCACACCTCATTCTTCAAATGCATGGCTTTGCGTTCATGTCCATACATGTAATTGATATGTACTGAAGCTGTACATTTTAACTAGTTAGCAACATTATCTACACGTCTAGTCTCTTCTCAAAAGAAAATTCTGATAAACTAGTGCTGATTTCATGTTGAGATCTAATAGGCAATTCTGTTGCTGAACCTAACTCCAAAACTTTCATCTGGGTCTCGTCTGTTCCTTTATGGTTGCTAGGGGAAGGTGAAACTTCAACATCCCATTGTTCATTTTCATAGTTAGAAGTCCTTGGAGAAGTTTGTGCACTATCACTGCGACCAGCTGTGTGTCTATGCAGAAGGTGAACTGGAGACATGCCATATGTCGGAGTTGCTGGCCTACTAGAGAATGGTGTGGTACTGTTACCCTCATTATGCTTGCTATGTTTAATATGTTTTTTGGCATTGTGGTGCCAGTTCTTCAGTGCTGCAGCTACTTTTTCATTGAATATGGTGGGTTTCATGGTTGAACCCATCTGTAATGTTAGCCAGAATATAATGAAATCAGTGGTTGATTATATAGTATTGTTGTAAAAGAAAATTCCTTAAATGGCTTTTCGTTTAAGTGACCTGTGTGACCAGAGCATAAAGAGGTAAAGTCACATAGCTGCATAGAACTTGTATTACCACCCTGGAAATAAAAAAATAAATAAATTGAAACTTCGTTATTAGGTACATATATATACTTAACCATTCCAAAATTGAAGCAATGAATTAATGGTTGTTGCATGTATTGGCATGTGGACTTTCTGTAACTGAAATGTACTTACCCCATTGTAATTCTAATGACAATATCTTCAGTTGTTTCGTGGAAGCAAGAGCGTAAGGAGAATTCATACTGAAAAAGAAAAAAATTTGTGGAATAGTTAGAAAAATTTTGCAGATTTTTTTTTTATTATTATTATTATTATTTTTTGCAGCTAAACGCTACAGAATAATAGTAATCCACTTGAAGGAATGGTTCATTCTTTATTCTTTGCACGTATTTATTTCTGTATTTCTTTTGCTAATAATGTGCTATATCTTTTGTGAAGCTAGCTTCTCAGTTACAAAGGTGTCAGAGATATTAATCAAATAAAATACTTATCGACTTTCTCTTAACGAGTTAAGTTTCTTGAAGTGATTATTTTTGACAAGTTATCAAATCTATTCTCCTAGTGATCAAGAGTTTCAATCTTTGCTATTTAAGCACAAGGTCTAGGTAGTAGCTATATTCTTCGTTCTCCATTCTTCGAGCACAAAAAACTTTCTTCTAATTTGACTCCTACCAGTGTTAAAGATTATCATTCTGTTTCAAACAAATTATTGCATAGCAGAGAATCAAACATTAAAGCGTCTACTTCACCTTAATATTAAGCATTGCTAATATTTTTCTTCAATGTTAGTAAACAATGAGTTAGAAAATAACATATTTATGAAAAATTGATCAAGATGAATAAACTTACTGTACTCCAAGAAAAAAATGCGAGTTGAAAGGCATTCTGCAGCATAGAAGCAAAAAATTATTTTAAAAAAAAAAAAAAAAAAAAAAAAAACTTAAGAAAACAGAATCTAAGGGAAAAGAAATAGTGAAATTGCCTGAAAGAGAACAAGATGAACCAAAAAGAGAAGGAGGCCTGGATTATTGAACCAGAACAAATCATCTCCTGGCTCAACGACAGGTGCACCCCTTAGCACTTCCCCTCTGTCCTGAATCCTCAGTCCCATCTTTGTTATGATCATTTGTAGCTTAGTCCCCACTAATAAGATTATCTGTAAAATTTACATTGAATCTAACTATCAGTTATTTGAAACCTTACATCAAGAAAGGAAAAATGTAGATAAGTAACATAAAAATAATTAGCGTTCTGTGCTTACAATTAATGGGATAAATGGAAGCCAATAATGAGAATACCACCCTGTCCACATACAACAAAAATTTTAAGCTGCAATTAATGGGATAAACTAGAACTTAACAATTTATATTTCTACTCAAATAAGCTGCTTAAGGTTGCTGGTGCAGAAGTATAAGAGCACACTCTATTAAGTTGTCTATAATTACACAGAAATATTTTTTAGCCATACCAAATCAACATTTTCTTAGTCTCAATTGTGTTCTATATTGACATAATTATGGTCAAACATATATGATAGGAACCGAACAGTAGCAGCCACGCTCCTTTCAACAGGTCTTCGTCCTCAAATTGTAAGGCTCCAATTACTTTTTCAAACTCTCGCCTAAATTCTACCACCGTGCCTATTTGTTTGAGCGTGTATAGTGCTCTATAAGGATTATCCAGAGCTTCCGGCTGAAACCTACTCAGCAACTCTCGCCGGAAAAACTCCCAGTCGGGATTGGGGTTGTTTACCTCCCACCACAAATACCACTGAAGTGCTTCGTCTTGCAGCGTCACCATTACTGCTGACACCTTGTCTTCCTCAGCTATGCCAATGATAACAAAGTAACTCTCTACTTTGTTTACCCACCCATAAGCATCCTCACCACTGAGCAAGGGAATTTCAAGTCGTCTACTCATGGGTGCTACCAGACTGAACCTCCTCCCAAATACTCTGTTCGGGCCAGCATTTTTCTCGTGGGATCCACTTCGTCTTTGCTCCGCCATCTCGTCCAACCTTCGGATTATTTCAATGATGCCCATCTCACTAGCTTCCATTCTTCTAAGTACCTCCTCGTTTTGAGCGTCATTTCTGCGCATCCTTTCTTCCAGAACTTCCATACGATTCTCCACGTTTCTCGTGACAACCATCCCACAGAGCTCAAGATCGGAGCTCTGATACCAATTTGATAGGAACCGAACAGTAATCAACACAAATAAAAGGGAAATAGGAAATTGTATTGATATTTTGTCCACAATTTATCAGAACCAATACTGTAATAACAGATTCAAAGGAAACAACTGAGACAATTGTAAAGACAAATTACAGAATAGTGCAGCTTAATCTTCTCATTACAGTCCAAAAGTAAACGTTTCAGTAAAAAGGGAAATAATGCAGAAAGTAAAGGATAATATGGAGCAATTGGAGAGGCTCCACTCTCTCCCAAGATCCCAAATCTTCTATTCTGATTCTTGATGCCTTTCTCTCCCCTCGGCAACGTTATTTAATCCTCCCCTCCCTTGCGTTGCTTCATTCTGTTGTAACAGAATAGCTGAGTCACCAAATGAGTCACCAATTGGGCCAGAGCTGGTTGGGGCCCAGATTCGTCTCTGCTTGTCTCTTCTATACACGTTGGGCTTGGGCTTGAGTTGGGTTGTATCAATATTAACAATTTATCTTTGATTGCAGAGTACACCCAGTGTTCCATGTTTCATTATTGAAAAAAGCCATTACACCTGCAACAGTGGTCCAGCTATTACCATCTATTATATTTGCTGAATGGGAGTTACAAACTGAACTAGAAGAAGTTTTACAATTGGCGGTATAGCCCTCAAGGGAATTTGGAAGTGTTGATTAAGAGAAGGCATTTACCTTATTTTAAAAACACGTGCGAAGACTTTTTCATGCATAACAATCAATTTTCGTTGTTCCCCCTTGAGGACAAGGTGGTTAAAATGGGAGGGAGTATTGATACGTTGAATAGGGGCAAGTTTGGGAAGATTTATAAGAGGAGGCAGAAATACAATGGAATTCAGAACACACGACGTGGATTGGATGAGTCAGTAGTATTTGGTGAAATTAGTGGGACTGCTCACATAGATAGTGGAACTCTTCATGTGGGCAGCAATAACAAATAATGAGCAAGGGTGTGGTCATGTTTACAGTAGAGGGACGTTAACAAGTTTGTTACAAACAGGGGCAGGGAGTGTGATGGAGTGGGATCTTGGAATCTGGGAATTTTGGGCATCCTCTTGGGTGAATTGCGAGAGAACCAAGGCCTTTCTAATTGTTCTGGGTAGTATGCATTTATAGGAGTTATTTCAACTTGTAATTGTCTCACATTGTCATGTCAGATTTCCATACTTGTAAATTATATTTGAGAATACTGTTAATTTGAGTCTGAGACTGAGTTCATTAATATAATTACAATTTTCTTCGATTTTCGCTTCCTATTATCTCTGATACCTATCAATTGGTATAAGAGCTCTTTGATTTCCTGGGAGAGCTTGAATGGTTGTGACGAGAAGTATGGAGGCTAGATTTGACGAACTGTCTAAAAGGGTGCGCAATACTAAAGATGTCAGACGGAGATAATGAGGTGATTGGATGCATTGATAAATTCCAGAACAGCTGGCAGAATCACAATGAAGGAACGAGATCAACAGTAACGAACAGAGGTATCAGTGGGAATAACACTAATGCGCAAGAAAGAAAATTAGAGATACTTGTGTTTTCCGGCGAGGACGTCTTCGACTGGTTGAATAAGGTGGGGCGTTATTTTCGTGTAAACTGATTAACGGATAACGAGAAATTACCAGTAGTACTTATAACACCTCATAGTTTTAAAACCTATAATTATTGTTAAAATATGTATTAAATGGTAGGATTAGTGAAAATCTTGAGTTCTAGGTCAAAATACGTAAAAAGGGTAAAACAGTAAATTGCCAAACACGTAACCTTAAACAGTGAAATGTTTGTAGAGGTTATTAAATGGGAAAACTAACCCTGAAAATGGATTCAGAACGAAAAATTGAGTGGTTAGACAAGGTTCTGGAAATTTGATAAATAATGTTTTTACCAAGTAAAAATACAGAAGTACAGTTGCACCGAAAAGTGTGCCGAGTGAAATTTGAGCTCTAGGTTTGAAAATAAGTTGGAAAGATACATAGGACAAAGAATTATGATTATTGATGAAATTTGATTAAAATTAGGGTTTTTGGGGAAACGTGCCCACAGTGCACATATCAGCTTAAAACTGTGATTTCACTACATGACCGAAAAACTCCGGATTCGCTCAAGAGCAATTAAAGGGCATTGGTGAATGTTAAAATTTGGAGTTTAGAAATATTCTAGGAATTATTTCCAGGAATTGATGATCCTATGTGTGATCGTTGTAGGTTGTCTCCCACGGACGTGATCCTTGAGGATTGAGCTTAGTGGATTGCCTTTGGTCCTTGACCAAAAGGATTTAGGTAAGTAATTGTGTAACTTTGCATGATTGAGTTTATGACCAATTGAGTGATCTTTGTGATGCAAACGTATATAGGAATGACCTTCTGTGTAGGCATTTCTAGTTGGAATAAGTTAAGGGGTAACTTGCATTTGAAGCTACCTAGCTTAGGAGCTTCAAGAAGGTAATCTCTTGGTACTCTAGTTAATCCCCGTGTCTGCTCCACCATGCCCATTGGGGTAGTGGTTGGAAGCTGTATGTCCAATGATGTGATTATAACATGCTCATGCATATGTATATATTGGGTACATAGAGTGTACCGTGTCTCTGGCCAGTAGATAGTTGTCGTATGACGTTGGGGACTTCCATAGGGAGTTCCAGTTGGCCTGGAGCCGTGAAGATGTTATCCGTTGAGGAGCACTCTAGGAATGTCTCAGGTGTATTGGATGAGGGTGCCTTGTATGATGTTCCGGGAACATATTCTTGGATGAGAGCCCATAGGTTATATACAGAGGCCAGTAGGCCGGATGTTGCGTGGTTTTGGCTCTGGTCATTCCAGCTTCATCGTATGTTTTTCTCTTCTATGTCCCTATCTCTTTAAATCCCTTTCTATATCCCTCTCTCTTTGTACATCTCTATATCTCTAAATCCCTTACTATATCTCTATGGTGTTATGATTCATTATTGTATGTTACATCTAAGTGAGCCATTAGGCGAGGTAATCCTACAGAACCTTTGGATTACTGAGATATATTCGTATATCTCACCCCGCATTATGAGACTATGTTTCAGGTGGTTGTAGCGGGACTAGAGCTTTGGGAAAGAGGCTCACGGGTGGAGCTTATGGAGTTGGAGATTAATTTGCATTTTAGGCCATACTTGGCATAGGCTAGACTTAGAGCATGAACATTGTATATTGCATTAGTGATATGTATCATGCCTTATTTGTTCATGCTATATTTTGGCTAAGTCTAGAGTTGTTGTACTTATTGGTATTGATGTATCTATTTGTAGTTATATTTGGAGAATTGTAATGTAATGATTATAGAACTTGTGTAAAATTGTAAAGCATGTATGTCATTGATAAACCTTTGGTTTACCATGTTTTTAGGCTAAATTATACAAGAGTTATGTAGTAGAATGCATGGAATTCAAGGTTTTACAACATATAAGTCATAAGATAGGAAATTGAGCTGACGTTTTGATGATATTTGCATTTTGAAGGTAAAACCACAAGAATTGGTGCTAAAGAAATCATGACAAAGAAGTAGCGCCTCAATATGGACCAAGGGAAGCCAAAATCTTACAAGAATTAGGCAAAAGCACGCTCACGCGCACAACAGGACGCTCGAGCGCTTGAAAGCAGGAAAAACAGCCAAACTGGGCACAACAGGACGCTCAAGCGCACATATGCACGCTCAAGCGCCCAAGAATACAAGAATTCAGCCTCGAGGAGCGCGCTCGAGCGCCCAGTAGCACGCTCGAGCGCGCTCAGGCAGGCAGAAATAACTAATTGAGGCATATTGGCACGCTCAAGTGGCCAACAACACGCTTGAGCACCCAAGCACGTTCCAGACAGCAAAGATTTGACAAGATTTAATGAAGATTTGCCAAATTGTGATATCCGAAACTAAAACGGAAACATATCGAACCTGATTTAAAGAAAGTCATGGAAGATTGAAGCAGGATATAAAAAATATTCAAAGCTCAAATCTATCAACCAATCTACAAGATCTTAAATGCAAAGAGGAAACAATTGTAGAATCAAGTACAAATCTGATACAGATTCGTTGGGAGATACAATGAAGGATGTGGGTTTGAAGATTATAAATAAGGAGCTTGAGGTCAAGACCAAGACACCCATTCACATATTCATTCAGAAATCAAGTCACAAGTCCAGAGAAGAAGGAATCTTGTTGCGGAGCGCTAGAACACTGAGGAACAAAGTCAACATCACACCAATGGAGACTTGGGGTTCTCTTTTCTTTACTATTGTTTTTCAATTCAGTATGCTAGGCTAGATTTTTATGTAGTTAATGGTAGATGAAACCCAATTGAATCTTTATGTTTATGAATTAAATTGTCTCCGAATTCTGTTCTTTTTATAATTGAATAAATTTATCTGTCTTTAATGCTTTCTATGAGTTTGTTCCTTATAGAATGATTTTGGGAAATTGTATGACAATATGGATGTTGGTGATGAACCCTGACTTGATAAATTTATCATAATCCTTGTGATCTAGGGATAGACATAGGGTAATTATGCAATCTTGGAATTCTTGATCTTAATGCATATTTTCTTGGGAAATAATCGGGGAACTAAAGTTCTTTCAAGATCACATAAATTTTGGGTAACAAGGAATTGAGCCTTAATTAACTTAGAAAGAATTGATTGGCAATATATTAAGAAACGAATTCTTGACAGTTTAATTCATTACATATTGAGGAGATTGAGGGAAGTCGAAACCTTAACTACGCTTGTTTTTAAATTCTTCATCAATCATCATCTTTTTACTCATTCTTTTTAATTCTAAATTTTCTTAATTGCATGCTATTACTTGTTTTTAATTTTAAGTCCTTCAAATCACAATTCTCTCAAACCCAACTTTTGATTGTTCAACTAAGACGCAATTAGCGAACTAGTGCTTGAAAATTCTGATCCACGTGGGAACGATCTCGTACTCCGGTACACTTTATTACTTTACGACCGGTGCACTTGCCGAGTCGCAACAAGTTTTTGGCGCCGTTGCCGGGGATCAAATTCTTCAACCGTAGAAGTAACTAATTAACTTTTAGATTGGACGCTTTATTTTTCTGCACTTTAAAACATTCTTCAAAAATATTTTTCTTCGATAATTTCACGATTCACAGGTGGGAGGACATTCAGGAGCTTTCAGAACATATAAACGTATTGCTGGTGTGGTGTATTGGCAAGGAATGATGAAGGAGATTAAAGAATATGTTGTTGCATGTCATGTATGCCAGCAACATAAAATTCAAAACCTATCACCTAGCCTTTTGCAACCTTTGCCCATCCCTACACAAGTTTGGGCTGATGTTTCATGGATTTCATTGGTGGCCTACCCAAGGCTTTTGGTTTGCATACTATCTATGTAGTAGTTAACAAAATGACCAAATATACTCATTTCTTAGCTGTCTGTCATCCTTATTCGGCTAGAGATATTGCTGGAGTTTTTATTCGCGAAATAGTAAGGCTACATGGTTTTCTCAAAACAATAGAATGACCAAATATACATGGTTTTTATTGCTGGAGTTCTTAGCACCTTTTGGTCTGAGTTGTTCAAGATGGCTGGCTCCAATTTACATTATTCCATTGCTTATCACCCCCAATCAAATGGGCAAACATAGGTTGTTAATCGTTGCTTGGAATCTTACTTAAGATGTTTTTGCAGCCCGAAACCAAAACAGTGGCCCAAGTGGTTGCATTGGGATAAGTATTGGTTCAATACCACATATAATGATTACACTGGAATGACACCATTCAAGGCCTTATACGACTGTGAGCCACCTAACCTGTTTCGAGACAGCAACCAGAATTGTGTGGTTGAAGAAATTTCAGCAATGTAACAAGAAAAAGATGTTGTTTTAAAGGAACTACATCATCACTTGGTGCTGGCCCAAAACCGGATGCGAGTTCAAGCCAACAAGCAGAGAAAGGAATTAGTTTTTGAAATAGGTGACATGGTATATTTAAGGCTCCAACCTTATCGGTTAAAGACTTTGGCACGCAAGATTAATGAAAAGTTGAGCCCACGATTTTATGGTCCTCATAAAATTTTAGCTCGGGTTGGTGAAATGGCATACAAGTTAGATCTTCCATCAGATTGCAGAGTACACCCAGTGTTCTATGTTTCATTATTGAAAAAAGCCATTACACCTGCAACAGTGGTCCAACCATTGTCGTCTATGATATCTGCTGAATGGGAGTTACAAATTGAACCAAAATAAGTTTTACAGTGGCAGTATAACCCTCAAGGGAATTTGGAAGTGTTGATTAAGTGGAGTCATTTACCTTCTTTTGAAAACACGTGGCAAGACTTTTTCATGCTTAACAATCAATTTTCGTTGTTCCACCTTGAGGACAAGGTGGTTAAAATGGGAGGGAGTATTGATACGTTCAATAAGGGCAGTTTGGGAAGATTTATAAGAGGAGGCAAAAATACAATGGAATTCAGAACACGCATTGTGGATTGGATGAGTCAGCAGTACTGGGTGAAATTAGTGGGACTGCTCACATGGATAGTGGAACTCCTCACGTGGACAACAATAACAAACAATGAGCAAGGGTGTGGTCACGTTTACAGCAAAGGGACGTTACCAAGTTTGTTACAAATAGGGGCAGTGAGTGTGAGGGTGGGGGATATTGGAATCTGGGAATTTTGGGCATCCTCTTGGGTGAATTAGGAGAAAACTAGGGCCTCTCTAATTGTTCTGGGTAGTATGCATTTATAGTAGTTATTTCAACTTGTAATTGTCTTACATTGTCATGTCAGATTTCCATACTTGTAATTTGCTTTCAATTACTTGTAATTCAGATTGGAGAATACTGTTAATTTGATCTGAGATTGAGTTCATTAATATAATTACATTTTCCTTCGACTTTCGCTTCCTATTATCTCTGATACCTATCATAAGACTACGTACATTGACTGCCCTCTCCCCTATCTCTAGCTAGGGTTCAATGAGGAGTGGTTTTTTAACTTTGACCAAATTCTACTAGAACCTTAGCAACACTAATTAAGCATGATATATGACATATATGTCATATTCAAAATTGATTTTAAAAGTTGGCATACCATGAGTATTAGTCAGCAGGAATAGCACTGCAAAGAACCATATGATTGGACTGCAAGTTACAAAAAGGTTGAGCTTAGATTTATATGTAACTTATTGAAAGCACAACAATAGCAGATATATATTTATACCTTATTCCCACCACAACTTTAAAATCATCCTCAAGTGATCTTTTGATATACTTCCGGAAATCAAATTTTGCTTCACTTCCCGGTGCCAGATGCGCCTAAAATTTATTACATGCATGTCTTAGTGTTACATTTTGGGATGTCTTTTCAACAAAAAAAAAGTGTCAGAACTAGGACAGATTTTTAATTACAAACTCACCATGATAAATCCATGCCGTAATGCCAAATAGTCAGCTTTGTTAACAGATCCATAGAACTGTCTGAAGAAGCTAATCTGATTCCAGAAGAAAACGAAGGCATTAGAAACTTTGAAATTGATTACACACTAAGAACAAACTAAGCACTTGAAATTCATAACGTAGCTAATGGCTTAGTTTCTTGTGATTAATGAATAATGATCCAATTTAAGATATTTATCATTTGTTTCATGTAATGATTTTGTCCTTACTATCCATAAGGAAATCGATGAATTACTCCACATGTTCAAGTGCCTTCGTCCAAATGTTGTGTCCCTTGCAAACCTGAACCTCTCAGGATCTGCAATACATATTAACAAAAGGCGCTGTCAGAGATGGAAAATAAATTGCCAAAAGATTAAACAAAAAAAAAAGGGGTTCCATTTCCCTATAATATAATATACCTTGAAGTAGTATGCATGGAACCAAGAATGTTGAGATTTTATAAGTTAACGCCTCTTTATAGGTAGTACATACATTAATCATGCAGTAACTTTCATTTTGTTTAACTTTTCATCCCTGTTTAAAAGCTATTAATACATTTCAAAAACTTATCAACACGTTAATAAGTTACTAGATAGATAAGCTTAGGTTATAATTTACAATAAAAAAAAGTGTAGTTTTGATATTGTTTTGAACTAGCATAGCAGGTTCCACATGTTCTAGAAGATAATTATACCACTTACACACTACTGAAATCTTAGTCTGTTATTGCCACTGCACTCGCACACTACTTCTGCATCAGTGGTGGTCATCTCTTCCGTAGGTCTTGCTTGTCTCTCATCCCACATTAAATACGATTCTCTGGGATCGAACCATTGTCAAATTATATGCAGATTTCCTCACTTTGTATTGGGACTTTCCTATCTTTTGATAGCAGATAGTAGTTTATACTAATCTTTCTACTTTTCATCACTATTTGGAAGTTATTATACTAAGTACTAACATATCTTACCAAACCTAACATTAAGAAAAGATAGTTATTATAGAAAAATATGAAGGTATTTTGAAAAAGAAGTGCAAGACTTCAACCAAAATAACTTACCATGCGGGGAGCACAAAGCGAACAATTCTTTAGCCTTTTACTAAAGAATACCGTGTACTCGCCGCTACAAGTGGCATACGCCTTTTATTGAAAATATCTTACCAAACCTTTACAAAAGTCAATATCCACATCATGAAGCCAATCTTAAATTTTATATAGTGAATTTAATGTTTTGTCTATTTGCTTTCATAGTAAAGAAGATTGCTCAGGATCCACTCCAGCTTTAAAGATTTTTAATACTGGCAAAAGAATTCTTCAAACAGATGCAACTGATCATCTAATGGATAATCATTAAAGTATCCTCATAGATATACAATATTTTGAGACTATATGAGTCCATCTGGCCTTTGCGAATATGGCCTTAATTAATGGAGGCAAGAAATTTGAAGTCTTACCATTATAGAATTGATATTCAATAGTCTTTGTTTCATCTTCCCATGTCTTCCAGCGTCTCATCTGAACAACGAATTCAGACAGAGGCACAAAAACAAGAGGGCAGTGAGTAAATTCTAAGAATAAAGACTATGGAGTATCTTTGAGGTGAAGAGGAAGAGGGGAGTACCTTAGTTCTTCCTAATGCTAATGTTATAATGCATTGTAGGATATGAAAAATAGCTAGCACAAAGATGAATATGTGGAGCTGGTGAATCCCATATGCAGAAACAAAAGCAACTTTTCCCTGCAAATGTAAAATAACACATCAAAACCATCTAGAAGAATGGACCACCTTTGCCTCTGCCTCTATAGTAGGATTAGAGTAAACTATCCTTACTACAAATATTTTCACAAAAAGTACACACAGAAGAAAATCCTTGTTCTTTTGTGATCGAAAGATGACGGGTTTGAAGAGGATAGTTCTATGCTAATGAGGACTGAGTATGGAAGTTCGATTTTTTATTTTTCCTTTTACTTAAAAAGTTTAAAGAGTAAGGCTGCGCGCAATAGTTTTGATCTTTGCTCCTAATGTAATTAAAAGTATCAAAAGACTGAAGAATAAACGTCTTCTTACTTTTTCAGCGCATTTGTCATATCCTTTTGTAGCTAGAACACGCCGCGGTACGCGGTCCAAATATTCGAGGAGTTTCTTACCATTGGTGTCTGTGTCAGATTTACTCTTTGACTTTGGATTGGAGCAAGGATGCCAAGTAGATGCAACATTTTGTGATATGCAGATCTTAGAAATTAGATCTTGGAACACAGTTAAGAGCAAGGATATGAATCCTAACAGCATAAGTTCTGAACAGAAATAAAGCAATTGGTTAGACTCCAAAGTCCAAACACAGAGTGGAAATTTGGAAACAGAGATGACAAGAGGGAAACTAAAAGAAGAGCAGAACACAATTACCTCCTTTAACCTTTTCCAACGCTTCGTAAAGAGCATTTTTGTGTTTCTTTTTGAACCACTGCAATAAGAAGTATCAAATACACCGGAAGAGGTCAGGGTGCAACAGCACAAGTAATAAGGAAAACAAAATAGAGAATAACACTATGTGACGGTGATTATTTATATAAAAATCTACTTTATCTTATGAATTACTTTTGAGTAACACAGACTCTGCCTAACTTACTTTTCCAATAGCATGAATAATATGTTCAATGATGATTGAAATAGCAAGCAGAACAAAGCACACAACTGCAACAGCCCAGGTTGGTGTTTCCTCCAAGGTTCGTTCATAAACTTTGTCATCGGCCATGATTTTTTTTTTTTTTTTTTTTTCACTTATTACAAGACTCAAACAAAGGTATAAGCAGAGATTCAGAATGTTTTGAACCTATAGACAAAGGACTACGGTTTATGCAATTTTCTTAAAGACTTCTAAACTTGGGGATGGTTGTACTTTATGTATTGGTTTATATATAGGAGAAGTATGGAAGAGATGAGTGTGGACTGTGGAGTATGGAAAACTGGGGATAGATATTAGAGGAAAGAAGGCAACACACAACTCAATAGAGAAACAGTGATTGACATATTCCAAGCAGTAGTTGGTCAAATAAGGAGACAGAGCAGAAGACTGAGGAATTCTCCATATAGCGTAAGCAACTTCAAGGCAACAATTTATTTATCAAGATTAGAAGATAATCAAAAGAGACCGTTTTTCAGCAACAATGATGTTGACATGATTCAACCCGAATCGCTTATTTTCTAACGGAATCTAACAATTTTGATGTTCGGTTTAAAGAATCAAATTAATTAATTTTATTCGAACTGATTTTATTTTTTACAAACCGGTTTGGAGACTGTTGGCAATCGATTCATAACTGGTTCATGGTTGAAAATCGATTTATGATATATAATTGGTTTCGAATCAATTCGGGTATGCAAATCAGTTTTAAACCCATGGAAATTTTAAAATCTTTTCTACTACTATTTGTTCTACAAGTAGTATTTATAAAGTAATCTATTAATACTAATGTACCTTTGCGAACTATAAGCCCACTATGTTCCCTTCTGGGATGGAGTCACTATATGGGTTATACCTATAGCACAAGCAAAGATCAAGCTAGGTGATATAGTCCCAAGTATGAAGCTAACAGATAACAATGGGGATTGGGTATGTGTGTGAATGACTCAAAGTAAATGGGCACAATAACGATACATAAATGCCTTCTCTCAGTATCTAGAGAGGTATTTATAGATAAAGGTCATGTTCATCTTCTGTGGATTGGTGAGAAGAGGGTAAACTCTTCTTGGGTTTCGCCAAGGGTGCAGACGCTGCTAAGGATGGCAGACACGACTAAGGACGGCAGGTGCTGCTATGGTTGCAGCGATGCACTCTCTGTGTCTGGTGGTGTCAGCATGTGACAAAGGGGCAGATAAGACATTTTGGTGTCTCACCTAGAGAGCATCATCATATTGGGGGTTATGAAGTTGAAGGTTGGTAGAACTGACGTGGACACAGATTTGGGCTCGGACCGTTGGACCACTATGTCATTGGGCCATCCGGAACAACTAATATAATATAAAAAATTTAGTATCGAGACGGGGTTAAAAATGAGAGATATTAAATACTAAATTTTTATCCATAGGAATATGAATAGTATGGGGTTAAATATGAATACTAAATTTTCAAAATGATTTGAATTGTTTGAAAGACTTAATATAATGACCATAAATGGTAAATCTTAATTAGAGATTTAATTTAAGGATTTAAATGCCATAATTAGATTTAGGGTGTGATTCCGAGTATTTTGACTGTAATCATGACTATGTTATGAACAGTGCGTTCTGCCGGAGAATTTACAGTTTTGTGAATTAACCGATAGAGCTTAAAAAGAGCAAAATAATTTTAGAGGCATAATTTGATAATTCTGACGACAAATATGAGTTCAGAACGAAAAATTGTATAGTCTGGCACTTTCTGTGAAAATCTCGTGAATAGTGTTTCTACCGGATATTTTGTACTGCTGTTTAAGCAACCGGTAGAGTCCAGAAATAAATAATTGATGAAATAAGAATAAGAAAGTCCAATATATGCCAAGCAAGTCAATATAGGCCCAAGAAAATGATAAGTTTATAAGTGTTAAGTTTCAAAAGTAAATAAAGTACAGTTAGTGATTCACAGTGCATTTCGTAAAAAACGGTGCAGAAACCATACTGTGAATTATGAATATTGTTTTGTAACAAATAAAAATTAATGTAAATGATTTTAGAAAAATAAAAATATGTTCGTAGCTTTAAGTTAGTTCCGGGTCAATTTAAGTTAAAATACGCGATAGAAAAACATCCGATGAAAGGGGCCACATGTGCCTATATAGCCTTGTCACTTAAATGAAACACTATTCATTTCAGATTTTCTTCCTCTCTCTCTTGCATGGCCGAGCTGCACTTGGAGGAGAAGGGCTAGGGTTCCAAATTTCCTTTCTTTGATTTCTTAATCATCCATTCTCCAAATTCAAAGACCCACCACATGAAATTGATTGGAAACCACTCAATGAATCCATTCCACCAATCAATTTGAGCTATAGTTGAGTGTGTGAGGAGTTTTTCCTTCCCCCATTTTCGAGCTACTATTCATCAAGGAGGAGAAATGACATTTTTTGTGGAGCTTTGCTTGGTGAAGGCCTTCTAGGCTTTGGGTAGTTCATTGGAGGTAACAAAACTCTAACCTTATGGCTTTATTAGTGTGAATAATGTTTTGAAAGTCATGAGCATGGTTGGGTAGGAAATAAAGTAGTATAGAATGTGAAAATTATGATGGATTATTGTTATTTAGGAAGTTATAGTGTTGAGTAAGTATCCACATGTGATAAAATAATTGAAAAGCCCTATTGTATTTTCCCCCTAGGTTTCGGCCTTCATGGGTTATATAGGGTTCATTATGCAAATTTTTATTGTATGTTTGAAAAGGTAAAATATGTTGGAATGTAGTGTAAATGGATGAATTGGTGGAAATGCCAAAGTTAGAAAAAAATCCTACAAATACTTGCTCTATGTTTCGAACTATAGGATGTTTAGGGGTATATATATATATATATTGGTTACATTTTATTCTAATAAAATGTATTGCATTTTAATATGCCAATGGATGAGCTAAGAAATGAAATGCTTTGACAAATGGTTGAAAAATACCTTGAGTCCCTAAGGGTATGCCCGCGACTTTTAAAGAAAAATAGCATGATTTATGTGAAAAATTCTTAAGTAAATGCTTGATTAAATTAAAGAACGCCAACGGGTGTATAGAGGTCTAGACTTGTGTATTGGCATAGAATTGGCAAAAATATAAAGAAAGGAAAATAAGCGATAAAATGTATGCTTATGAAATAATCATGGTATTGCATCATTTTATTGATGCATTGTAAATTATTCTCTAGGTGTGCCTAGGGATTGAGAAGGATCGGAAATCTCTTGAAGCGATAAAAGTAACTTGTTCCACAAGTAAGCGTATTGGTAAAGCTTCAAGAGGTAAGCTCTATGTTTAAGGAGTCTTTTCCTGCTTGAGTGCTCCACCATGGTTAGTGAACTATGGTTGGACTGTATGACTGTGATTTAGATGCTTTGTATAGATGCATTCATATAGAGTTATTTGATAACATGATATGTTTTGCTCTGATATGACTTCTGTAATATGATTTCTGTAACAGTCTCTGGCCATTGATTGTATAGTACCCGGATGTCCGCTTTGGGGTCCTCCCTCGGGACTGATGGTGTACACCTCTGATATGTCTGGTTCCGCTTTGGGGTCCTCCCTCGGGAACATGTGCGTTGATTTCCGCTTGGGGTCCTCCCTTGGGAATGACGACGCACACCTCTGATATGATATGGATAAATCCTCTGTTCTGTTATGATATCTGTTATATGTTGTATTCGTATACTCTGTATCTGACTTTCGTGCAGGAGTGAGCCAGGGGTATGGAGAATTCTCTATAAACCTGGAGCTTATTGAGATTTGTAATCTCACCCCTCTTTGGGGACATATTTTCAGGTGCCCAGATTCCCGGTGAGTCCTCACTAGGCAGGGACACGACACGTGGCTGAGGCAGTTGACAGATCGGATTTTGAGTGGCTGTAGGCTACTACCTTTTGGAGTGTTTGATGTCTTTTAGTATTTCCGCATTTGATGGATCACAATATTGATCCTTTATTTTGTATATGGCCTGTATATGTTTTGTACATGTCTGTCACTTGGATGCATGTACATTTGGGTATTCAGGCACGTTATATGATGATGTATTATTCAGTTTATGATTTCGTATTGGATTGCATGTTGATTAGGATAGTGGCACAGAGCCATATTTTGCATGCGCCCATGGATGGGTATCTGATTGTATCTGCATGACTGGTACTTTTGGATTACTATGCTGTATAACTGTTTATCAGGAAATGCTTCTGAGTAGGATTGGAAAATCCCCGGTTGTCCGATTTATAGAGGAAACTTTGCCCGATTTTTGTTTACCCCGAGTAAGAATTAAAGTAGAAAAAGAAAAAGTTAACTCGTATTTTCGTAAGTTAAGTCTTCCGCTGTTTTCTGTTTTATCATATGTATGTTAATTGAACCGGCTCGAGACAGGGATGTTACACCTAATGTGTATTTTCTTTGCATTTCGAATCTTTTGAACGTGTTCTAGACTAGTTTTTCAAGCATGTTCTTTTGATTTTGTTCAATTTTTAAAATGGTCTATAAAACAAGTTCAATTCTCAAAATGCGATTATTTTATGCATCCCTGAATTGGGATAGTTTTTCCTGTTTAGTATTATTTCAAATAATATATTTTTCTGCATATTTTTCTTAATAGACTAATTTTGGACGTATCAAAACCTTAACGTAATTAGGTTATGGGTTTTTTTACCTTATATGATCCTTACTTGATTTATTTTTAATCATTGTGAGACTTTCTAATAACAGTTAATTTCATTTTCTAACATTTTTTCCTCAAATGTTAGTACTAACAGCATGTTGTGAGGAAAATCATGCCAATATATTTTAATATTTTTACTCGATTATTATAATGATTGTATAAAATTAAGCTCGAATCATTTGATAATTTACATGCATAGATAAGTCATCATTATCAACAAAAACATAAGCTCATTTTAGAAGAGAATTTTCACGTTATGTGGATCGTTTTAAGAAAACAAAATGAAATTAGATAAAGAGTAAATACCCTTTTTGATCCTCAGCAAATTTCACGATGCCCGCTTTAGTCCCTAACAAATAAAAAAGTTATTCGTGGTTCCTAAAAAATTCAAAATGGACCCATTTAGTTAACATCGTAGTCCCTCACAAATTCAAAAAAGACTCATATTAGTCCCTCAAAAGGACTAAAATGGGTCCACTTTGAATTTCTTAGGGACCACGAATAACCTTTTTATTTGCTAGAAACTAAAGCGGGTATCGTAAAATTTGCTGAGGACCGAAAATGATATTTACTCTTAGATAAATAAAATGATGTTCCACCATAAAAGCCTAATCTTATGCATATAACTAGAGTTGTTGTGTAGTATTACTTCGTCTTCATTACTTGTAGAGTAAAGTATATTAAT